GTCATGGACTTTCATGTGGGAGATCAGGGATCAAAACCTGGCTAATGCAACTTTAAGAAAAAATCTCTTTAAACTTCATATTGACAGGCACGAGCTTGTATAGAAAACACATTTGAACTTGGTCAAAGTTCATTCTGCAAGTCCAATGCTGCAGGCAAAGCCATGCTGCAATGACATGCTACATGGCAATGTACACTTGTTTTTACATGGTAAAAACCCATGTCTAGTTTGAACTGTCATGCAATTTGCTCCCAGCTATTTTCACATGATTTAATTGTGACTCAGAACAAAGAAATCATACATCATACTTTAATGGTAAAAAAAAAACATGTAACAAGGTAATTCCCTCGAGTGAAAAATAGTTTTGGTTTCCAGCTGACAGATCAAACAATCTATTGTAAAAGCAACCAGTTCCTTTATGAAAGTGCCAGTCTTGTGTCGCCGTTCATGTGTAAAGAATGGAGTCTRAAATATTAAAGTTTATCTGCACCAATACAGGATCTGTCGATGTGGATGATTCATCTGAGTCTATGATCAAGATAATTTCCAACCAAAAGAAGTTTGTCTTGTATTCTTCAGATGGGAAGCAGAAAGTGGTGGCCAGAACCAGCCTGAAGTTGTGCAGGGTTAAAGACTGTCAGGGGCCGTGTGGAGGGCTTCACCTGTGCAAAAACTTCCTTTTCAAYGACCAGTTTTACAAAAGTGAGAGGTAAATATGTTAAATYATCTCAGGTTGAATTTAGAGTAAACACATGGTTTAAATTATACACTCACTAATGCAGTTTGGGGATATAAACCAACAATCTTGTGACACCACAAGTAGGGGTGTAAATCACCAGCTTTATCACRATATGATACATGGATTTAAGAATGCGATACGTTTATTGTTGTATTGTTATAAAGATGGATCAATATTTTCATTTTGCCTTGACGTAATTGAATCAATCATTTAACCCATATTTTGTTGTAGATTGACAAATTGCTCCACTTCTAGTCAGAAGATCTAACCAGAACCTCATTCAATATATCTCAAACATCATTTTCATCAAATTAAAAATGTTTTACAATAAAATGTGTTTTCCTTTTCAAACACTGACACCTGCTATGCAGTTAGTAGTTTTTRATTGATAAACCAGTCTTCTTTAATACAGTCATTGCCCAGTTTCTTTGGCAGAGTGTATCAGTCTCTTTTCTGTGTAGCGATGATCCACAGGAATTCCACCACTTTATTCCAAAGGACAGAGCTTTGGTTTTGAATCTTTGTTGTGCAAAAATAATAATAATAATAATAATAATAATAATAATAAT